TTGTAAAATTGATTTCCGACACAATAAGAGAAAGCAGATATGAACAAAATTTGTTTGAAGTTGAAATCAGGAAATGTAATCATTGTCATCCAACCTTCCATAGCATCAAAAATTGCAACTCAAGAGCTGCATTCAGTCTTAGGAAGGGTGAATCTGGAAGGAAAGAATTGGAATAATAGCGTTATGCATGGCGAAGGATCCCATCTAAAGGACGATGATGAGAAAATCCAAAATAATAATACTGACAAAAACAATAACCATAAAAACATGAAAAAGAATAAAAATAACGAAAAAAGTTGGAAAATAGAAATAGGAAAGAATTCCACTCTATCAGACCAATTCAAAGATTTGTTATCATTGACACCGGATCAGGGTTCAACATCACCAACAATGAAGATCTGTTCATTGAATGCACTCCTATCAGAAATCCACCTGATTTAGTGGGAATGGGCGAAGGTAAAAATCCAATTGCAAAATTGCTGGTGTAGGTATTCTACCAATCAAACTGGATAAGAAAACCATACTAGGTACCGAAGCTTTCTTCTGTCCTTATGAAGATGTCACAGTTATATTCCTCAATAAATTGTGGAATGACATTGGTTTGACTCTAGATAAAGGCTATGATAACCTTATTGGCAAGAATTGTTGCATCTCAACAACTAAGATAGATGATACAATCTGGGTACCAGCGAAAGAACTGATTCACAATTATCATCGAAAAAACGAGAAAAATAAAATCAGAGCAGTTAGAGCGCCAAACGTTAAAATTATCAAACCAGAAGTGTCATTACTAGAAGCACATCTGCGTTTGAATCATCTACCTGCTCAAGTAATTCATGAATCAATTAAAAATAATATTTTTAATTGATGTGAATACAATAAAACAACAAAATTCAAACAAAAATATCTGGTGTACCACATGTAGTGCAGGGAAGATGACTAGACATTTTCATTACACAAACACAATGATTCATTATTCAAGTATTAAGTCACCAGGTGCATCCTGGAGTCTAGATACTTTTGGACCCGTTAAACCATCTCCACAGAACAATGATAGATTTATGTTAGTCATGATAGACAATGTATCGAGATCATTCTAATCTCTACTCACAACACAAAGGACATTGTAACTATTACTACACAGATCGAAAAGAATATTAAATACATTCAAACTCAATTTGGTCGTGTAATTCAGGAACTGATCATGGATTGCAGGAAGGAGTATGTCAACACTGAAATGACCGATCTATGCGCTGAATATCCGTTGTAATCCAAATTATAGCCATAAGCTGGCTTCAGTTTCGAAGATGTTATTTTTCATGTCTGCAATATCGGATTTCTTGTAACCTCTTAATCTTGAAGGGCATCTTCTACAGTAACATTGGGTGTAGGATTCTCGTTCCATGTATGGCTTAATTGTCCTGGGACACCTAAGGCAGTGATAATTTGGACAACAATAAGCTGCAGTAGAAATTTTGGATTTACGACGAGAAGCCGAGGAAGGTTTGGATTTGGAACTCTGGATGGCAAATAGTGGAGCAGAGACGGTCTTACTATATTGCCCCTGAAGAATGAGCCCCATGGGGGATATTTTCCTTAACATAAAATAGTAATTCGACAAAAATTATGAATATCAGTGATATTTGGGCGTGTTATAGCAGAATTCTTGTACATCAAGATGTCATGATTCATGGTACTAACAATGGCTAATGTAGAGGCTCCTCTGTCGGCTCGACCTTCACGGATCAGTTTGACAAAGTAGTCTCTGGTATCATCTCCAGACTTTGGATTGAATTAATAAACTTCATTCAAGCCCCTCTGGGTTTTGGCATTGAAATCGAAAGATTAACAAAGTTTAAATAAAGCCGTTGTTCAGTCCACGATCAATCCTCGTAGATCAGTAAGATAACTACAAGTATCATCCTGGCTGCAGGAATATAGGAAGTTTCTCAAGTCTTGAAAACGAATATGTTCTCCAGTTAATAGATCTTGTATGTTCATTATGGTACGAGCCGGGTCTTCAAGATGTTCCTCTTTCAGAGTTGTGTCGTTAGTGATTGATAATGAAACGTCACTATAATTCTTGTTGCAATTTGTAAGCAATCCATGGCTCCCATAGATGATTAAGTGCGGAAAGTGCTTTCCCACTCTGGCCAAAATCTCATGTAGCGATGGGAATTTTGACCCAGAAATGTTGGTGTCCTTTGAGTTCATTTTCTCTTCCATTTGGAATAATCTCTTTTCGACGGAATCTTCAAACCTTTTAAGTTCAGATTCGTCTACATTGAATCTCTTCGCAAAGTTCTTTTCAGTTTCTCCTAATTTTGCGATGTCCTCTTCGTCTTTGACAATATGGCTTGCCATCTCTTCTTCATTTCTTTGAAGAGCTGAGAATTGAATTGAAGCTTGTTTCAAGATCTTTCCACGTATCTCTTCACGGTAGACTTGTATTTTAAGCATACCAGTTAGCTGTTCAAGTAAAGAACGAATTTCACGCATTAATGTGTTAACGGCATTAAAATATCCTTCTAAATTGTCAAGGCAGTCTTCTTTGGTACTGACAACTTCAATATTAGTCATGCTGATTTCACTGACCATCAAAAGATTAAGAGGGCAATTACAGCAAAATTTGGTCAACAAAAAAAAAGGTTTTCGACTAACACAAATACATTTTTTGTATTTACTGGGTTGTAGTGTTACTTTCAACTGTCATTGTCACTATTTTACTAGAAAACTGGATCATTCTTTTAGTTTGATACAAAGTTACTTATTATTTTAATGTACATAAACTTCTTTTATATTTCGAAATGCGTTGAAGCATTTACTGTTCGAACAAACACTCGTGACACATGATAATATGGCTTTACTATGAAAAACTCACATAACCAATATCAACAAGAAACAATACTCAAAAGTCTTGTCATGTGATTAATTTGTCAAACTGGGCGAGCTCCACTTTCTGAGAATTTCAACAAATAAAGCGGTTGTTTGGCCGAGCGGTCTAAGGCGCCTGATTCAAGTATTAGATTACTTAACTACTAAGTAGGAATACTCAGGTATCGTAAGATGCAAGAGTTCGAATCTCTTAGCAACCATTATTTTTTTCGTTGGTATTTTTTCTTTTTCTTTTTGGTCACTTTTAAGTGGACTTCGTTCTGACGTCATAGAAAGAAATACACACTACAAAAAAAACTGATCTACAAAAAACCCATGTTACACTACTAAGCTACTTTCACCATGAAAACCACATCCAATGATAATGGATTATTCAACTCAGATAAATATCGACTCCTCTTTCTATAACATGAACTCAATCTTTCTTCACCTATCTCTTTCTCTTGCTATCATACTACAAATGCACAAACTTCCCAATTAATAAATCGCAACAATAGAAGTTCCTTTATTACAAGATGTTGCTGCTAGATCAATCGATATAGCTATACAAATACCGAAACTGTTCTTGGGATAATAAATAGTCTTCGTCTGTGATCTGGTTAGATTGGGTCTCTATTGTATTGGCATCCACCACATTTTTTTGAAACATTTCTGGATTCAATTTGGTAGCTATACGAGTTTGGCTACCTTAAATTACTAGTTTCGAAATTATATTATTATTTGATTTCATATCTATTGGACATCTGGGCTTCCTACTGCTACGACTGCTTTTTACCAGTTACTATTCTTTTGATTGTATTGTGGGCATACTCTCTCTTTCCCTATCTACCTCTCACATATATTGCTATATATATATGCATTTATATCAATTCGATCTCAATAATGATGAAAGAGTTAAGTGAGACTGGTTTATCCTTATATTCCAAGGTCATCAGGACGTTCAAGATAGATGGGTACATATCTCAAGAGATTTTAGATGATCCTTCCAAAATATTGGATTACTTATCAAAAGGGATCAAAGAAATGGTACTCACAGAAGATGGATTACCTAAACTAGAATTTGTTGCTGAAGTAATAGGTTATATATTCTCTGGCTATGCAATTGTGGTGATTTTAACTGCTATAATTATCAATCGACTTGTGGCAATGTCATCTTTAAGATCTTCTACGACCCCTGTATCATTACCTGTTTTTGCAAGAGTATGGGTCCATCTATTAGTGATTATTCCCTTAGGTTATGCAATTGCACAATTCCTTTGTCAAGTTGAAATTATTGATTATTTCCATAAAGTAGAAACCTCTTTCTTCTTAATAAGAGTATTGATAGTTCTGGCTTGGTCTCATTGTATCGAAACTTTTTACTGCTATACCATTAATAAGAAGCCATTAACTGAGTTCGAATACTCTTTATTCGAAATGTCCTTACAATTTTATACCGTTGGTATATTATACTCAAATGATGAATATTTATCAAATTTGATGTTTGACAGTTTAATGGCAATGTTAAGCAGACTATGGGTTCATATTGTTGAAATTTTGGATTGTAAAAAACATAGAATAATAGGAAGTTCAATTTTAGTATTAGTTCAAGTTTTGTTCACAATTAAATGTATTAAAAACGTTGGATTGTCATCATTGTCAATTTTCACTATATTTAGGGTAATCGTGCCTGTACTATCAATTCTATTAATTTCTAAAAATATTATTTTAGTATTTATGACATCGCTCATCAAGACATTAAAATCGATTATGTTCATCAAAGGATTTTATATTACATCATTCAACAGGGTTATTTTAGATGAAGTGCCCGATTTTAAAAGTAAAGGTACAGATGAATTTTCAATATTTATTTCCAAGTTAGCATTATCATTGACTGAGACTGAAAAAGATACTTCAAATCCAGAGCATACTATTCAAGATAATGATAAACAAGAAGTTATTCAACATTCATATTTAATTAGTGGCTATGGAAACTTGCTGAAATCAACTCCTGAGGATATATTTAATATTATAAGTGAAAATGAATCTCAGAAGAAATATCAACCTAAATTACCATCCTTCCTATTGCGTTTAAAAATTATTCAAAAGTTAACAATGAAAATATTACTTGGTAATACAAATATTAAGAATGCTATATTTTTCAAATCTAATAAAAACTCCAAGAAGCACCAGAGAGTTAAGCAACAAAAAGATTTCAATTTATATGTGACTACTAATAATTATGCCAAATTTTTAGCTAGACCTGATAGTACTTATGACGAATCTGTGACATTATTACCTGAGGAAGATTCCTCTAATGATTATGTATTAAAAGAAAATCCAAATAATAGCAAATATGATAAGTACGAGTACATGGAAGATGATGATTCACTTCAAGATGAAATTCATGATATATTGATGCCCATTGATCAAGTGAAAAATGAAACTGATATATCTTGGCACATGTCAATGTGGAATATATTACAGTATAATTTAACTTCTCCAGATCGATTGACACGGAAAAGCTACTCACTAATGAATGAGAGTGGATTAGTGTTGGAAGTTTATGTAGAAAAGTATGAGAAACATATTCATGGACTAACAGCCAATGCTAAATTTGAAATTGAAGAAGATGATGACGACGAGAAACTTGAAAAGGAGTATAGATCATGCCTGATTTGCAAAGAAAATAAAAGATGCATAGTTTTATGGCCATGCCGTTGTTTTGTTGTCTGCAATGAATGTAGAACCTCTTTAGCAGAGAGGGCTATACCTACTTGCATAAGCTGTAAAGAAGAAGTGTATGCCTATAGCGTTCTTCATACAGTATAATTTAAATAGATAGAAACATATATAGATGCCATTAACGAACTTTAACCATATAAGAAACATACGCAATAATGTCTTATTTAATGTAACAATAAAAATAATTTGGAGGCATTAATATATATATTAACATATATAAATTTATCAATAGTGGAATAAATCTACAGATATAGAAGCATGATTACGTCACATGTTGAAAAGAATCAATGATGGAATAAACGAATTGGGTTTTCAATATATACCAAATCGAAAGCATCAGCAGTGTTAAAGACGACTTTATCCATAACTGAACCAGAAGGAGCAGCAATATATTTTACACCAGCTTTAACAGCTCTATAAACGTTATCTGGGAATGGTAAGAAACCATCTGAAGATAAGGATAAATTATTCAGTTTTGAGATCCAGTCTTTTCTTTCTTGTTCTGTTAGGGGCGTTGGAACAGTTGAGAATTTTGATTCGTAGTCTTCCTTTTCTGGTCCTTCAATTGGAATTTGCCCAGTAACATATAAGTCAATTACATTTGATTTGTCTGGTCTTTTAACACCTTCTGCCCATTGGAAACCAAGCACTCTTGGATGATGTCTTAGCCACCAATTTTCTGCCTTTTCAGCAGCTAATCTAGTACAATGTATTCTTGATTGTTGACCTGCACCAAGACCTACAACCATACCATTTCTAGCTAAACAAACAGAGTTTGATTGAGTATATTTTAATGCGATAGTAGCTACAGTTAAATCAATTATGGATGCATCTGTTAGATTTTTATTTTTAGAGACGATTTCTCTGAAAGTACCTTTATTAATAATTGCATCATTTCTTTTTTGTTGTAAATTAATACCATAAACCATTCTTGTCTCTATTGGTTCAGGTTCGTAATTTGGATCTATTTGTAGAATGCAATACTTGCCCTTTTTCTTCTTTTTTAAGATTTCCAAAGCCTCAGGCTTAAAACCTGGTGCAATGACACCGTCTGAGACTTCTTTTGATATAATTTGAGCAGTTGGAACGTCTACAATATTGGATAAGGCGATCCAGTCACCAAAAGATGACATTCTATCCGAACCACGAGCTCTTGCATAGGCACAAGCTAAAGGTGATAAATTTTCAATATCAGAAACGAAGTAGACTTGTTTTTCCAAATCAGTTAATGGTACACCAACAGCAGCACCAGCAGGTGAGACATGCTTAAAAGATGCTGCGGCTGGTAAATTTAAAGAAGCAGATAACTCTTTTACCAATGGCCAAGAGTTCAAAGCATCTAAAAGATTGATGTAACCTGGAGTACCAGATAGGACTTTGAATGGCAATTCATCGATTCTATCTACATAAGCTTGAGCCGGTTTTTGATGTGGATTTATACCATAACGCAAAGGCAATTGAGCTTTACCTTCAGAATATTGTTTTCTGAAGAAATCAGAGATGGTTTTGTCGTAGTCGGCAGTATGTTCAAAAGCTTTTAAAGCCAATTCATTTCTTAACTCTTGTGGAATTTCACCTTTACCGGATTTCAATTCTGATAAAAATAACGAATAATCCTTTGGATCTGATAAGATTGTGACTCTTGAGTGATTTTTGGCAGCAGCTCTCAACAGAGTAACCCCACCGATATCTATTTCCTCGACAGCCTCTGCAACAGTGACTCCGATCTTGGCAACTGTTTCTTTAAAAGGGTATAAATTACAAACAACAAAGTCAATCTTTTCAATATGCTGTTGTTTTAAGTCTTTCTCGTCACTCTCCAAATTTCTTGCCAAGATACCACCATGAACAGCAGGATGCAAAGTTTTAACTCTACCACCCAACATCTCAGGAGCATGGGTGACTTCAGAAACATCCTCGACAGGGAACCCTGCCTCCCTTACCATCTGGGCAGTTCCACCAGAAGCTAATATCCTAACATTATTATCACTTAAACCTTTGGCCAAATCTAACAAACCAGTCTTATCATGAACTGATAGAATTGCAGTCTTTGTATAGTTCGGCATCCCAAAATATCTTGAATATCTGTCAAAGCTGCCAATTTAAGAGTATCGAATCGAATCCAGCACTCTAAATACAAACCTTATATAAGATCACACGTCACCTATACTTGAACGGATTCCTAGCTTTGCTAACCACTCACTATCCAGTAACAACTAACTAACTACTATTAACTATTAAC